AGCGTTTTGCTACATGTATCCCGAAGCGAGACGGTGCACAGCATGAAGGACCCCATTATGTTCCATGGTGCCCATCGCTCCTGAGCATTGTAGCACGCAAAAGTACATGAGCTCCTTTTTGAGCAGGATCACACATTTTTGGCCCCTTAGACTTCAATGGGAGCTCTTCAAAAACTCGCATAGCGTCCAATTTTCAGGTGTTTTTGCACAGAACAGTCTCTTCCTAGTAACTAGCTTAAACATTTCTGAGAGTTTGATGGATATCCAAACCCTAGTCATACTTGGTGAGACATCTTCCGGTATATGGAGACTCAGGGTGGGCCATTGTTCTGTATGAGGAGTTTCAGTAGATCCATTTGATGAAGATTTGTAACATGTTTGACTGATTAGTAGATTAGCCAGCGCTTAGGAATCTTGAAAGCATTACACAGAAATCTGAAATGTCTTGGTGTGGAATATCTTGGGATGAGTTAAGCCTGACAGATGTATTCTTCCAATACTGGAATGTTTTGCTTTATGACTTTCCTTCCATATTCCTCATTCGGCTTTGTGGAATGTGACTGTATGCTGTGAAGTTGGGACTGAGGGACCTTGGTGCTGGTTCTGTCTTATGTTTTCTGCCTGCTTGAGGTGTCCAAGCTGCGCATAGATGGGTAGGGTAAGCTGGCACTGTTGATTGACATCTCATGTACTGAGCACCTATAATAACCAGTTCATCAACCGCTGTACTAAACTGGTTCCAAAATCGCTGTGTCTGCAGTCTTCACATCACTTCTGCTGTTAATGTATGTGGGATTTTACAGATTTAAAGGGGTAGGCAACCTCAGCACTCGGGCTATAGGGGAGTTACAAATCCCATCATGCCACTGCTTACATAGGTTGCAGAAAGACACAACTCTAGAGTTCTACCTGTGCTTCTGGGAGTCATGCATGTGGCTGCCACAGTCTTGCAATTCCCTGTGGGACCTGTAGTTCCAGAACAGCTGGAGTGCCAATGGAGCCTACCCCTGCATTATAGGCTAATCAGTGTGGAAGGGACTACACCCCCCCCCCCCCCCCCCCCCCCGGCGCCC